TTTCGACAACACACAGTTGAGTAATTCAGAGTCATGTCGGTGTAACTAAACCATATTTAGTTTCACTTATACTACATCCAAACCGACTCACCGGTCAGACGCACCGTGTATGCCGGCCGATTTATATGATTCAAGTACTTGAAAGTAATTCTTGCTCATTCTCTTTTTTTTCTATTTGCTTTTACACGCTTCAATCCCGTTGAATTCATGTTTTTATTTCTTTAAATGGGAAACAAAGAAAATGTCAAAAGCAAATCACGAAAGTTGAAACGACGGTACAGACCAAGGCGAATTTATACAAGGTGGTGTTACTGGCGAATTTTATTTTCGCCGCGGTACTTCCTAATGTCAAAGTGATGTGTTTGGTGTAAACAAGGCGAATTCATATTACAACAAACACATCATTTTGATATTAAGAAGTACCGCGGCGAAAATCTAAATTCGCCAGCAACACCACCTTGTATAAATTCGCCTTGGTACAATCGCATGGGTACTGGTCCCTTTTCTTCTCACCCCCTCTCTTTCCCAAATACGAGCAGAATTGAATTCAATAGTTGAACTGTGTAAAAGCAGTCTTAACTGCCAAATTTGCGTACTGAAAAATGATAGCACCAAGGTGAGTACAATAAGGTGGTGTTGGGGCAACAGATAAATTTTTCGCCGTGGAAATCATAACGTCAAAATGATGTGTTTGTTGTAATTCATACTGTTATTGTGCGTATAATTTGTTGTAATTTTTTACTTATATTCATCGAACAGTTCCATAAGTAAAGTAACTCTTTTCACCTTCTTTCCTAGCAGGCTGTAGGTGTGTTTTTGGTTAGCGTATTGGTGTTTTTGGTTCGATGAGCTAAGCTAAAGGTACATAATTTTATTTGCTGCGGCATTGCGTTGATCCGTTGGTGCGTTGACGACGTTGAAAAATTTGCTGTTACACACCTTGCGTCGTGGCGCTTATTGTTTTGTAAACAAAAAACAGCTGATAAACAAATCCACAAATGTAATTTCAAATGTCAACGCATGAACGCAACAGAAAAGTAGCGAGTTGGTTTACTTTCGACAGCAACTGCGTTGATGCATTCGTAACGGCGTCGTCTGTAACAGCTGTCATTTAAACGCACGTGTTCAATTTTATTTGACATTAACGGCGTGACGCATTTGCCGGCGATCGCACATACCTTTGCCTTTATTAAATTTGAATAAATTGTAATAGAATTGGAAGAAATTATAATAGAAATTAAAGAAATTGTAAAATTTAAGAGCAAATGCCAAAAAAGGTGATCTCAGCTGTAGGCAATTGTCGGCAATCAGCTGATAATGTTTTTTACTTAGGAAACTGTACGATGCTTATATGTATACGGGTAACACCACTTTGTTAAATGCGCCTTGCCTGGCACACTATGTGAACGATAAATAAAAAATTAAACTTTGACCATTTTTCGAGGTTCGAATTATTTTCGAAGCTATAGTAACATATTAACTTCTTTCGAATAAGAACAAATTATAGCAATATTAAAAATAAATATCGGGTATTACCAATCGCCAGAAAATAAATGTAATTCAAACCATTTACTATGATGCAAACTAGGGGTCTGATCGAGGCACGTAATGAAGGCGGCAACTTTCGAATTGATAAAAAGTTGCTAGAAATTCACACCAAACGTGCTACTTTAATAATTCGCACAAAACTGCGGTTATGATTGCAACTCGAACAAGCCCTAGTTCTAAGAAATTGATGATTAAAAAAAAACGCACTATAAATACAAATTTTGAAAAAATATGACGTAAGTGTTGAGCATCATCGGATTTACCAATCGCGGGAGAGTAAAACAGAAAACTTAATTCCAAAGAAAGGTCGGCCGTCAAAAAAAAATTTTACACTTCAGAGATTTTGACCCTTACGAAAAAGGCTTCTTGTAAGCATGGCTAAATTAACACGATAAAATATATTTAATCAGGATTACATATTAAATTTCTATATTGATGTACTGAATAATGCCTTTCATTTTATGAGACGATTATGGTGTGCTTTATAAATGGGCTGTCGTGGGCTGTAGAGAAAATGTAGTTGCGTTCCAGCAGCAGTACGAACAGCACGAATTTAAGGGATTTTACAGGATCTGTTCCCGCACGACACCTTATATAAGGTTTATTATTGTGTTTTCGCTGTTCCTGTAAATGCTGTAAAATCCTGCAAAACCTGCTGTTCTTACTGCTGCTGGAACGCAACTTGTATATATGTATCATGGTGTAGAGCTGTAGCAAACCCCTGACTCGAAGTACCGAATCGTTACTCACATAATCTCGTTACTCGCATGTTCCGTATATGCACCATCAACGTGAATCAATACAACCACAGTATATACGTAATAAACCTTTTCGCAGTTTTTCACCAATTGGTCCCCGAGGAGTACTTTTGGGTTATGTGCAGCGTTTTCGTCTTGCGCGCACGGCAACACTACTGTTGGGAATTTCGCCTCATGATTAGAAAAAGGTATTTTCGGGGGTTAAATATATATAATTGTGTTATTTAAGGACAAAATGTAGGGTAAGGGCCGGTTACTCAATGTCTGGTTAACACTAACTACAGGTTAAACATCGTTATCGACGTTACCGACTCCCTGTTGTATACATGGAGTGGGAGACGTCGATAACGATTTTTAACCGCAGATTAGTGTTAACCAGACATTGAGTAACCGGCCCTAAGTATCTTCTTAATTGGCGCTGTAACCGCCTAAGCGATTTTGGCCGAGTCCAAAACAGCACGCCAGTCATTTCTCTTCTGTGCTAACTGACGCCAATTGAAAATGCCAAGTGAAGCCAAGTCCTTCTCCACCTGGTCTTTCCAACGCAGAGGAGGCCTTCCTCTTCCTCTCTTACCAGCAACGCGGCCCGCGTTGAATATTTTCAGAGCAGGAGCGTTTCTGTCCATTCGAACGACATGGCCAAGCCAGCGGAGCCGCTGAATTTTAATTCGCTGCACTATGTCTATAACGTTGTAAAGCTCATACAGCTCATCGTTAAATCGTCTGCGATATTCGCCATCACCAACGCGTAAAGGTCCGTAAATCTTTCGCAGAATCTTTCTCTCAAAAACTCCAAGAGCCGCCTCATCAGATGCTTTCATTGTCCATGCTTC